TTCAAAATGTTCCATTTGGCATTCAAAGTGCTTCCTAGTCTAGCCCCCTCCTACATTTCCAGTTTTCTTATACTTTACCTTGCTCCTACCTTCTTCCCAGGTATTCTGATCCAGTGACAATGGCCTCCTTGCTGTTCCTCAAACAATACCCTTCTTTCCTCCACTCCAGGTATTTTCACTGGCCATCCCTTATGCCTGGAACAATTTCCCTCCTCAGCTCTGCCTACTGACTTTCCTGACTTCCTTTAAAGCCCAGCTAAAATCCCATCTTTTACAAGAAGTCTTTCCCAATCCCTCTTAATTTTAGTGTCTTTTCTCTCTTAACTGTTTCCATTTATCCTTTATATAATTTGTTTATTTATATTTCTTCGCATCTCATCTCTTCCATTAGATCGTGAGCTCCCTGAGGGCAGGGACTGTCTTTTGCCTCTTTTTTTATACCCCAGGGTTTAGAATAGTGCCTGTCACATAGTAGGTGCTTAATAAATGTTAATTGAATAATTGATAAGCCTTATACCCAGAGATTCAGTAAGCACATTGTGGTTGAAATTAGACCACCAAGAAGCCTTGCCCCTTCCAAAATTGTGTCTTCATCAACCAGAAATCAGATTAAAGAGTCAATCATTTGGGTCAAGGTATTGAAGGTTCCTGTTAATATGTCAGTACCTTATGTGCCATAGGTATGTGTTAGCCATTATTCTTTCAACACTTTATTTGGTTCTCAAATTATATAATTGTATTAGGCAATTTGAAGAGGGAGGAAGGGAAATAGGTCTGATGTATAATATATGCTATAAGGTTCTGAATATGCCTTAATAAATGTCTATTGAATTGAATTGAATCATTAGAAGGCATTATAGTCTTTACCCTAGGCCTACATCTAGGAGGAAAGCTTCAGCTGGAGTCCTGGGTTCTAGTTTCCAAAACCCCTACTAACTTACTGTTTAATCTTGAGCAAATAAATTCACCTCTATGGACTTCGATCTCTTAGTCTATATAATGAGGATCCTAACATTAGCCTTTATGAGTGAGATGATAAAATGAAATAATGGAATATCAAGTCTAAAAGAGTAGAAGGGGTAGATTCACAAAATGTTAAAACTGGAAAGCATCTTTGAGATCATCTAGTCTAGTATTCCTACTTTACAGATGGGAAAATTGAGGCTCAGAGAGTAAAATGACTAATCACCCATTCACAGTGCTGTGTACATGATAATCCTTAATAAATATTTGCTGAACTGAATTGATCAATTCATTAAATGGAGAACTTCTAAATACTAGGGCAAAGGGAAGTGTGTATGGCGTCTGTGGCTGACTTCAGATAAGTGCAGAATGGAACAGATATAGGAAGTGGATAATGGAGAGAGAGAATGCAGAGGAGAGAGAAAATCATTACTGCAGGATTATAAAGGCAGCCAGTTAATTGAAAGAATTCTCAACTGTGCCTGATTTGTGGGAAAAGCTTGATGAAGATTGGACTGAAAAGAAGGCACAGAATCGGGAGCCAAGGGTGATTTTTCACCTGTCCAGAAAGGTGCTGGAGGAATGCTGGAAGTGTAACCAAGGAGTATATGGTCCTGGTCAGCAACTCTGAAGGAACTAGGCTACAGGCACAGATAACTCCCAGCTTTGAATCACCCCATCTTCTCATATGCTAAAACCTGTAAACCAAACTTGTGTGGTAGTAGATAGGGGCCAAAATTAAAATAGGCTAAACTTCTTGAGGTTGCAGATAGGCCTTTAGTGGCTCACTTTCCAAGTAAAGTTCTAATTAACAATTAAACTATTTTGCAAATACACCATATTTTAAAAAAGGGAAATTTCAATTAATACCAATTAATTACATTTATTACTTAAGATTTTTATCATGAAATCACATTAATGTTTAAAAAATTACTTTACTAAGCAGTACAAGTTTTAATACATTTTTCAGGTTTTCTTACTATTTACATTCAGTTAATGGGGTGTATTATACTTCTTGTTAGCAATCAGTTTATTATACTCCAGAATCACATTTGAAATTGATTTCTTTAGAAATCTGAAAACTAACCTTAGTAGCCACCTCATTTTCTGAGTTTACTTTCTTGAAAAACTGTTGTTCCCCACTGAGATTTTTCAATAATTTGGATGTTTTAATTTGTTTTTCATTGGTGTCCAATTTGCTTAAGTCAGGATGTTTTGATTCAAAATGGCAACAAGATTGTATTCCTTCAGAATGGCTATTACTCCTTGGCAAACAAGGTACAATATTTTGTCTCTTGTGTGAGTAAACAGGTATCTATTTGTCCACTCTGGATTAAATACTCTATGATTGATCTTCCATTTCTTTTTATCACCCATTTTACAAAGTCACCCTAAAACTTTAATGTTAGAACCAAAAACTCTCCACAGCAACTGCTCATGTGCGTAGAAATGCTGAACTGAGTGTTTGACCTTGGAGAGAGCACCAGACACTCATGTGAGGTGGAGGGCGGCCCTGCAGCAAGGAAGCAAAAGAGTTGTTGCCACTCATCGCATATCGAGCGGGAGTGGGCCTCAGATGTGTTGGCTCGTGGCTACACATGCTTTGTCCCTGTCCAACACCAGTAATGACCAAAAACACACAGAAAAGATACAACTCTCAGACTAGAGACAGACTGATGATGGTTGGTTGCTGCTGGTCATGTGACAAACAGAAGAGAGTGCACAGTGGCAACCCATTCACCAAATTATGTCACGGGTACCGTAGTGACTAGTGGAATGTGGGTTAAGTGGGGCATGGACAAAGCGCTCGTTCCACCTTTACTTTCTTTCACATCCTCTACATTTTTCCTGGGCTTCCCAAAATCCTTTGATGGGCTGAAAACAGCCCTCGAGCTGTATGTTGTGCAGGCCTGCTATAAACTAAGAAGTGCGCATGTATATGTGTGTGGGGAAGTCCTCAGTCCTCAAAACATTGGGCATTTCCTACTTAGGAACGTCATGTGGAGAGGCTTTTGGATTCTGTGGGTGTCTCTGGTGGTTCCGGCCATGAATCATTCTCATGTACCCTGTTAGGTACTGAAGATACAAAGATGTCCCCACCTTCAAGGAGCTTTCTGAAGAAAAGAACAGGGCACAAATAGATATACCCAGGGGTAACCAATAGGTGGTGCTATCTGGCAAGGTTGGTTAAATAAAAGGACACATTTCTAGAAGATTCTTTCACTATTCAGTTCAGAAACCTTAGTTATTTTGAACTGAGGTTCAACTCTCGATCTTATTTAGTTCTGTGTACTATAAGTCATTTACTATGTTGTAATTCCCCTGTACACAATAAATCACATAGAAATCATAATTGGTCATAGTTTTATACATGAAATCCTTAAGAATTAAGAACAATTTAAAGAAATTGTGTCAAAAATCCATGCCAGCTGAAGGCACAGGGAAAGGAAGAAGGGAGTTAAACCTTCATTGCCCTTTCCCTGATCCCAAGGAGTGACAACAGTAGGCATCTACAGTCTATTCTAGCATATCCACCAGAATTTGTTTTTTCTTTCTAATAAGTGGATGGGCTCCTGGAGCCAAGCCTACAATGCCTAGAATCTAGCTTATGAACTCACATCACAAAACACCTGAGGGAGCTTATCTCTCTCTCTCTTCTCTTGAAACTAAAACTTCATCCCAAATGTAATCACTTTGGCTCCTTCTTTACCTATGTATGACTGTCATGAGAATCTCTCTTTCCCCAGGACAATTTCTGTTGGTGATTACAGTCCCCAGTATTCACAGAGTTTGATTTTACAGCCATTCACTGGCTCCATGAAATTCATTCTGAACACTTAGTTACATTTATCCCTGGGGTCTGGAATTTTGAAATCCCCTGCAAAATCAGATGGAGTATGTTTGGCATCTAAAATTATAGAGCACAGCATCAAAATGAGCAGTACCACTTGACAGAACAAGGATGATTGAGTTCCAGGTAATCACCTTAGGGCACCATCTATAGCAAATATCCATCAACTATACACACAATAGACATTGTACAATGCAAAGCATTAATTGACAGAGTGCCTTAGTGACTATAATACTATAGGAAAGTAGGAGCAGAGGACATAGATGGTGGGGGTAATCCATGTTAGGGGTTTGGTTAAGCACATAATTAGTGATAGGACAAGGGGACAAAGGATTTGAGAATAGATGAGATAGTGAAAAATTGAACTGGCTATTTATAAGGACAAAACTTGGAAGTGAGGAAAGTGAAATCTGGGAAAGCATTGAGGGATGGAGGAAACATGGATGAGGATGATGGATGAGGACAAATAATAGGTTTAAGAGGTGTGAGAAATAAATAGAGATGGAATAGTAGGAGGTTATGGTCAGATAGGGGCAGCTAGGTGGGGCAGTGAATAGAGTGCTGGCCCTGGAGTCAGGAAGACTCATCTTCCCACGTTAAAATCTGACCTCAGATACTTACTAGCTGTATGACCCAGGGCAAGTCATTTAACCATGTTTACTTCAGTTGCCTCATCTGTAAAATGAGCTAGAGCAGGAAATGGCAAACCACTCCAGTATTTTTGCCAAGAAAACCCCAAATGGGGTCATGCAGAGTTGGACACGACTAAAAATGACTGAACAACAAAAATAGTCAGAGGCCTTTCAGAATTCTTAATTATAGAATTGAGACATTTGTTGGTGAAGGTGGGATAAAAATTGAAAGCATCTGTGGCATTGAGTGGAGTGAAGGTATAGGTCATAGGAATTGAGGAGGACGATGTTTAAAGGGAAGGAGAAGCTGTTTAACGGAGCTTACATATATATGCAAATATATATGTGTTTATATATATATACACACACACACACACACACACATATATGTACTAGTCCTCCAGCATCAAGGCTGGGGCTGGAGTTGAGAGGAATACTGTGATCCAGGAACTGAACTTTTAAAGAAAGGAGGCAGTTAGTTAACTGCCAGAGAATTTGGAAAGGATGAAATATCTTCTAGAACGAACCTCAAAGGAGAGGCTGCTGAGTGATGGTAAAAGGAGGATGTGGGAGTGGCAATACGGAGCAAGAAGTAAAACTACTCCTCCTGGACCAGTGTGTTTGGTATAATTATAAGAGAAGTTTCATCCATCCAGTACTGGAAGGGTGATCAGAGATGCCCTGTCTTTGGGGGTAAATTAGGTCTCTGAGTGGCAGGGCAATGCATGAGAAAAGCAGGAGAGGAGAGGCCCGAGATGAAGGGAAGCGTATAAATGATAAAATAGGATTCAAAACAACACAATGAAAGGTATAAGCAGAGCTGGATTGGGATTTAGGAGAGTTAGGGCTGAAGTGGATAGGAATAAAAAGGGGCAGAGGGGTTGCTTGAGACACTAGGAATTCAGTATCACTGGAAAGATAAGAATATTCAGGAAATTAGCTAGGTGGGGAAAGGGGAGGGAGAGATAAGGAAGAGACCCTAGAACCAAGCTACTCCTTGTTGGGGGGGGGTGTAGGAGGTGGAAAAGGGGCTCGGTGTGTAGGACTCGGGATCTGGTCCTGGGCCCGAGCAGGTTCCACAGATTACCGCCTTTCCCAGCGCCTGGAGGAAAGGCTGAGGTTTGCTGGACAGCAGAGTCTTTAGTCCGGCCCCACTCTGCCCTGGGAGTTTCCACTGCAACCGCACCCTGTTTGCATTAGAGCTTTTTCCTAGCACCACCGCAGCCGGGGGTATTTCCTGAACATTCCTCCCACCCCTATTCCCCCCCACTTTGAGATCCGGCCCCTGGGCCTGAGCCCCCACCCTTGCCCCCCAGCCAGCCCGCTTCCTCCCATACACCCCAGGGGCTTTCCGCTAGCCAGAGGAATACGTGTTCTATTTTTAAATCTCGGTACTCCTTCATGACCTACCCCCTCCCCACTGGACCCCTGAGGGAGTGACGGACTGATTATGGGAGGGTCGTGGAGGTGGAGGGGGTGGGGGGAACGGGCGACGGTAACTAGGTGAGGGAGCTAGTGGCGAGACAAGATTCTCTGAAGGGGCGGGCACCGGAGGTCGGGGTGAGGAGAGGGATAGGAAAACACGAACACAGTTTAAAATAAAAACTCTCGACCCCAAGGGAAAAGGTACAGAGATTAAGGGGTTAAAGCCTAGTTCCAGGGGCAAAGAAGGCGTGGGACTGCAGGTGGGATTACTTGGAGCGAAGGAAAAGGGGTAAAGTGGAGGGCGGGGGCGCTGTTGTTTGCAGGAAGCCCTGGCTCCACTTGGGAGGCTTATTCATTTCTTTTTAAGCGGCTGTTTATTCCCTGGCCTGGAAGGCCTAGAAGCTTTCTTTGAGGCTATCCTTTAGTCTGTCCCCTATCCTCCCCTCTATCTCCCTCCCCGCCGCTACGCGATGACCAAGAGTGGAGTAGGCGTAGCTGTCTGTAACTGGGCGGGGAAAGGGCTCAGCCCAGGCGCAGGTGGCCGCTGATCCTTCCTTACTAGGTTAGGGCTGGGCGCAAGGCTGAGGAAGCGGGGAGGAGAAGAATGAGAATCCGAGTCGGCGAGGTTGGAGTCTCCTAGGACAGACAGGACCTTGGATGGTCAAAAGTTGGCTGAGGATGAGAGAGCCTGGAGCAGTGAGGTGGGAGCCACTTGGAAGTGAGGGTCAATGGATAAGGTCCGCCTACGAAACCGCTAGGGTCTCTGTCGCTTAAAGATGGGGACTGGGGGGGAGGCACCCCTGTGTAGGGCGCTCTGTGCTTCCGGAGGCCATGGCTCCGCAGATCAAAGCCAGACTCGCTCCCAGACGGCTTGGCCCCTGTGGTCACTTCCCCAGCTCCCACACAGGCAGAGAGCAGGTGGCCCCAAACGATCAGGGAGGTGGGGTGTGGTCAGAGCAGCCTAGCACGCAACCTCCCCCAAGCTGGGCCCCAATTCACCTCCACCACCATCACACTCTCCCACCCCACCCCCCGGAAAAAAAAATCCTATCGGCTTCAAAGGAAGCTCAGTTTGGGCAATGAGCGCCTGGATTTTTTCTCTTTGTATAGGGATGGCAGTCAGGCAGCAGAAGAAAAAAGGGAGAAGCTTATGGTGGCCAATGTTAGTAGGTCTCTCAAGATATTGGGCCTATTCCCTCTCCCAGCCATCCTGAGTGGGCTGAAATGGTAAGCCTCAAACACTACCGAAGAAGCAATGCATCACAGTGGAAAGAGCTGGGGATTTGAATTTAAATCAGTGCTCTGCGGTTTGCTAGCAGTGTATTGTTGAGTCGTTCAATCTAGTCAGACCCTTCCTAACCCCTGTGGGATTTTCTTGGAGGGGTTTGTCATTTCCTTTTCCAGTTGTCCCCATTTTACAGTTGAGGAAACTGAGGTAGAGGTCACGTATCTTGCCCAGGGTCACATAGCTAGTGAGTATCTGAGGCTGGATTTGAACTCAGGTCTTCTAGACTTTAGGCCCAGCACTTTATCCACAATCCACTTGCCTTTGCTAGCTCTGGGAACTTGGGCAAATCACTTAACCTCTCTGAGGGATCAGAGAGGAAACAAAAGCTGAGAGAGACTGGTTGACTTGTCCAAGGTCACACAGCTAACATGTGCTAGAGCTATTATTTTAATTCAGATCCCCAAATTCCCCGAATTTAAATCCATTGTTGTTTTCCTTGCACCATACTGCTCCTTCTTTGCATTTGAGACTTTCCATCTGAGCCCACCCAGAAGGCTGTGGGGGGAGGAGGAGAGGGAGAGGGATTTCCTTCCCTTTTACGGATGAAGGAGTTAGACTAGATGACCTCTAGTCATGAGAGATGAGAGTCCTTCTGATCTTCAATCAGTGATCTTACGACCATTACAACCAAATAGCAAAGCCAGCTCTGGCCTCAACTAGCCTGGCCGTACAAGGACCCTCAGTGACACATCCTTGAAGAGCCACTTTTAGATGATGGGATGGGGTGAAAGGGATAGGAACAAGCTGTATGTACGGTATCATAGTGTGTGTGTGTGTGTGTGTGTGTGTGTGTGTGTGTGTGTGTGTGTGCGCGTGCTTGCCTGTACATGATGTCATATGTACAACATTGTTTGCAAAACAATATGTCTATCTCATCACCTTGGACACTGGTCACTCTAGAGTTTCCAATCACCATACAGGGCAGCCTGGTGGTGCAGTGGATAGAGCACTGGCCCTGAAGTCAGGAGGAGTTCAAATCCGGCCTCAGACCAAAACACTTAACACTTACTAGCTGTGTGACCCCGGGCAAGTCACTTGATACCAATTGCCTAAAAAGAAAAAAAAAGAAAGAAAAGAGGGATTTGGGGAGGGATCATAATACTTGGCTCTAGAGTGGAGGACATGGGGTTCAAATCCCAACTCTGAAACTTAATACCTGTGACCTTGGACAAGTCATTGAGTCTCCTCAGGCCTTATCTGTAAAATTATTGGAGTTTGACTAGATGACTTCTAAGGTTTCTTCCAGTTCTAGATCTATTATTCTGTGAAATACTTATTTCCCTTGCTGGGGAGGAGCTCCAGATTATGCTCCCCCTCCCTTTCCCTCACCATCCTCCCAACCTTATTTTCTATTTCCCTACAGGAAGAAAGTTAAGGTGAGAATCACAGAAAAATAATCCTTTCTGAGTTTAGGAGTTGGGTCTTCCCATAGACCAAGCTTTCTGGTTGGGGGAGGGGGAAGGATTTTTCTTCTCCATCCTTTCTCACCAACCACCCCCCCTGCCCAGAACCAGAATGAGGATCATCTGATGGAGTGCTAGCTACAGGATTCTTCTAGCTTCTTGGCCTGTGGTCTGCTTCTTCCCCAAGTCTCATCTGGGGGATTGAGGACAGGGAGAGAGGGTGGCTGGGTTAGGGAGTAGTTCCAGGGAGGGCTGCAGCCAAACAGGCAAGGACTCTGGTTAAATTTGAGAACAGAGAGTGCCTGTGAGAGGAGCTGGGGAGGAAGTCTTCAATGAGGTCCCCTGGGGTCAGGACTGGGACAGTTGCTGTTTTTAATCCATGCAAGTGACTTAGAGAGAGTTGAGAGAACTATAACCTAGATCTGGGTAGAACTCAGGGGCAGGGAGGAGGGGAATAGGTAATGGGTGGAGTTGAGCATCCTTTCCTCAGCCACCCCAGACTCACTTTCCATCCTGCCTCCTCCCCATTCCCACTCCTCCCCCCCCCAGAGGAGCTGTTGAGCACAGGGGGAAAAAAGCCACATGTCCCTTGGATCTGAGGAGTTTGTGGGGTCTTTGATTTTAACCACACTTCTTTAATTCTATCTCTGCCTCTGTAGCTGTCCCTACCTTGATTTCTCCTAGTGTTTGGACTCTGTGATTTCCTCCATTTTCTAAATGGTTTCTCTCTCTCTCTTTCTCTCTCTCTCTCTCTCTCTCTCTCTCTCTCTCTCTCTCTCTCTCTCTCTGTCACACACACCACACACACACACACACACACACACACACACACACAATCTGAATGAATTTTCTGCTTAGGAAATCATGATTTTGGGGCTGTGCTACTTCCCTGCTAATCCTTGTGGCCGCCCTGATGGCACAAAATGAGTAAACCAACCCAGCAAACCCATGATGTGCAAACTCATGTCACCAGTATGCACAAGTATATTCATGTCTCTGTGAATGTATCTGTGTATTAATGTGTATGTGCTATCATCTGTGCATGCATATATGTGAATTCATAAGTGAGCAGATGCATCTCCGTGTATATATGAATGCATATGTTCACAGGTGAGCATGTATGTGAATTATTAGTATGCACGTGAGCCTGACTGGGATACATGGAGTATACTAGGGAACTGGAAAGAGTCTGGCCTCCGTGCATAGTCAGGGCAGCTGTTCAGAAAAGAGGGCAGCCTTCTGGACGAGACTTTGAGGCAGCTAAAGGCGACTGGAAATCAAAGAGTACCAACTCACCAGTATCTCTCCCCTTCCTATGCTCTGTGCCTTGTGTCCTAAGGAAAGGAGGTCTCGATATTCATCCACCCACCCCCAAACAAAGGAATACAAACATCCACAAATGTCAACAAACACAAACTAGCAAAACCATGCCCATCAACATACACAGACCTAAAACATACTCACACAATGTGGGTAGGGTGGGTTGAGGGGAGTGGTCGGGAAGAGAGAGACTTCTGGATTTGAATGCCCTTCCCTTAATGTCTGAATAGAGAGCAGTTCTTGCTCCCTCCACCCCATTCCCCTTATGCTAGTGTCTGTGAGCTAAATGGAGAAAGGAAATTAGAATAAGAACTCCTCAATCTCAGTCTCCGCCCTTACCCACATCTCCTTTGGCTTTGGCTTTGTACATAGCAGATCTGTGAGTGTCCAAGTCCAACGCATGTATGGATAATGATGATCATAATAACAAGTGACATTTACATCATGCTTAAAATTTTTAAAGGGCCTTATATACATTATCTCATGGAGAGGAAAGGGCCTTGCAGACATCAAGTATTCAAATCTTCCTGTAATCTCAGTGATTCAGAAGTTCACTCCAAAGATGTAGATCACAATACCTGCCCATCCTGTGGGATTGTCATCCATGATCTCTCAAAAGTTCACCATAGGGAATCCACCCAAAATGCTGGAAGCCTTCCTCACTTTCTCCTGAGGGTACCGATGTAGCACTCTGATTGCCTGTAGGTCATCTCTCCCCATATGACTAGCCCATCTTCTCTTTTCGACATACAAGTCCTTGATGACAGCTTTTAGCCCTGTTTTCTTCTTTAGATTTCCTCATGGGATGTAGATTGCAACCTGCTCACACAACCACCATATGCATTTTCATCATTCACTCTGTGATGCTCATGTTTAATACTTGAGTGACAGTGTTGTTCCAGGACTTGCCACAGTACAGCAATACTAGCAAAATGTTTGTATTGAAAAGATGAGCCTTTGTTGTTATGGGAAGCTTAGGGTCATTAAAAGTGCTTTGCAATTTCAAAAAAAAAAATCCAGCCCACTTTTTCTTCTCTCCTTTTCAAATCTAAGATGAGCTCACTAGTCTATTGTCTGTCCTAGATATACCTCTATAGGGTATCCATTCAGATACACGTTGAAATCTGGGCAAAAGATATTCTTCATCATTTGACCTTTCATGTGTAGATGGACAGAAATGTCAGACTCAGGCCTTTCTGTTAAACTACCCATTGCAACCCAAACTCGATTGAAGTATAAGTTGGAATTGTCTAACAAAAATAAGTAAAAATGCAATACAACATAGATAATGTTAATCTGTGGTTTTCTGAATCAAGGCTGGCCTTTTGGGGATCCATTTTTAATTGGGTTTGATACTATTGATTAGGACAGTTACAGATCTCTTAGAGAAGCTTCTGTAATGTCTTGGGGCTTGATGCAGTCAGCACAAAGTCATCTGAAGGACTTCTGCAGCATCTGGAGGACTTCACCATTCGAAGGGAATCAGTCCTTCCCCAACCTCAGCTTTCTGATGAATCTCCTTCACCACAGCTCTTAATATTTTTAGTAGGCGTACATCTATGCCTCACCTAATGTTTATTGTCAGAGATAATAAAGATGTGGTCTATTGTTGAATAGTATTTGCAAAAGCCTGGTTTTCCTCTACTAATATACTCATCAAGGATGCCCTCCCAATTTGATTATAGATGACCCTCAAAAAGATTTTGTATAGATGATAAGGTAGGTATATAGGTCATACTGTGATCCAGGATCACATACTGGATACACAGTATGTTAATGGAGTTGTGGTCACCTTTTTTTCTCAATATCAATAAGGTCCTGGGTGGTGGTGGTTTTTAATGCTTTTGGTATCTGCTTCTCCTTTAAATACCATGTGTATCAGCAAACATTAATGTACCATATAAACAGGCATTATTATTGCCCTATTATTTGATCTTTATAATAATCGCACGAGACACTAATATAGGTACACTATTCCCATTTTTTCAGGTAAGAAAACTGAGTTTCAGAGTCCCATGACATTCCCATGGTCACCCAGCTAGTAAAGGTCAGAAGCAAGATTCAAACCCAGGTCAAGGTGTTTGCTTTTTCCACTATCCTTAGCCAAAGCATCAGATGGGAGCTTCGAGTTTCTACAAGAAAGGATGAATTTTGTTCCTGTTCCTTAAATATGGAATCTAATCTTGTGTCTTGGGATCAGTGGCAGAAACTCAAAG